TTCTCTCCCAGTTTACACAGAGGGCTTGCTCCTGCTCAGGGTCCCCCGCGTGGTCCTGGCGCTCCCATGCCACCAGGCGTCGCTGCTCCCTTCCATCCTTGGCATCGGACTCAGCCCTGCAGGACCGGAACCCGGGCACCACTCTCCACCAGGAACTGGGAACCCCGTCTCCCCACCACGCCTGAGCCCCTCGGGGCGTCCGCATGCTTGCCCCTCCAGGCCTGGGAGGTAGGCCAAAGGATGCCTCTCTATTGCATGCTCTTGAGTCCACATTCAAATCTCACTTTCCCGTGGCTCTCACATGGCCTTGAATCCCTCCCGGAGCTGGGCGGCCCCCGCCTCCCCTGTGCTGAGGCAGTGCTCTGAGGAGGGTCCGGGGTCATCTTCCCTTCATCCTTGCCAATCTGGGCATGTCTTTCTCTCTGTGTGACCCGTGAATTCTACCTGAATTCCCGGTGAGCGTAGCTGAGAACACAGACCCATCCCAAAGCGGGGTTTTCTGGTTTTGAACCCCAGCTATGTGATGGTGCACAAGTCACTTAACCTGCCTGTGTCTGTGAGATGGGTAATCATGTAATGTGTCTCTCCTTAAGGACAGAAAACAAATTAAACAAGCTCAGACGACACTGAAGCTGTGCCTGGATAGGGAAAACAGTCACGGGCGTCAGCTATGATTATACCATTTATTATTATTCATGCTGGGACATGGGAGTGTCAGGGCATGGGAGTGTCAGGACATGGGAGTGTCAGGACATGGGAGTGTCGGGACATGGGAGTGTCAGGGCATGGGAGTGTCAGGGCAGAGCCCTTTCCTCTGAATGCTTTGGAGACATCAGTGCATCTTCTTTTATTTATTTTTTTTTTTGGAGACAGGGTCTCACTCTGTCACCCAGGCTGGAGTGCAGTGGCACAGTCTCGGCTCACTTCAGCCTCTGCCTCCTGGGTTCAAGCGATTCTCCTGTCTCAGCCTCTGAATGTGGTTGAGATTACAGATACTTGCCACCATGCCCAGCTAATTTTTTGTGCTTTTTTTAGTAGAGCCTGGGTTTCACCACGTTGGACAGGCTGGTCTCGAACTCCTGACCTCAAGTGATCTGCCGCCCTCGGCCTCCCAAAGGGCAGGGAGTACAGGCGTCAGCCACCATGCCCGGCCTTTTTCCTATGCCATTTTCTTTCCCTCTCATTTGCATATGGAGCTGCCGGATCTGTTCTGAAAATCCCTTTTCCCTCATAACTTCCTTGAGGCGGTATTTTTGTTTCATGTCTCAAGTAATTCTTCCATTTGTTACTCCCCAACATGAATTCAGAACTCAGAGACACACGAGTATCTCCTCTGATTCAACTCGTAAACCGGTTTTGGTTTACAAATTATCATTTCTAGTTCCACAGATTGTTCAGGTGGATACCTGTCTGTCACTGTGTTTTGAAAGGCAGCACCTCCCCCGAGGCCAGTCCCCCGGAAACACACCCCTCCGGGTCTCAGCTCTGGCCACACAGCCCCCTGATCAGGAACAGTTTCTGGAGGGGCTATGGCTCTTCACGGCACCTTGGTCTTCTCAGCTGCCAGGAATATCAGAAGCCAATCACCAGGCCTTATATATAGCCCTGGTGGGTTATATCCCAGAACAGAAGGAACTTGGAAAAACAAGCAGAGCTGATTTCAGTGACTGCCTTGTGGGTGGCGGGCTGGGACTGGGCGGAGACTGTCCTATGTCCTCGGGTAAAGCAGGCACAGCTGTGCGACTTTCCACTTATCCTTCCCCACCCCTGCCCTGAAATCTGGGGTCTCTGCACAGGAGAAGGCCATTCTGGTTTGGAATTGGAAGTAGCAACATGAGCCCTGTTTTTTTTCCCTTTTTTCTTGTTTTTGTTTTTGAGACAGTCTCGCTCCGTCACCCAGGCTGTAGCACAATGGCGAGATCTCGGCTCATGGCAACCTCTGCCTCCCGGGTTCAAGCAATTCGCCTGCCTCCGCCTCCTGAGTACCTCCAGGGATTACAGGCCTGCTCCATCATACCCAGCTAGTTTGTATATATTATTATTAGAGACCAGGTGTCACCATGTCGGCCAGGCTAGTCTTGAACTCCTGACTTCAGGTGATCCACCTGCCTTGGCCCCCCAAAGTGCTGGGATTACAGGCGTGAGCCACCACGCCCGGCCGTGTGTTTTCCCTTTAAAAACAATTCAATACCCAGCTCTGTCCACGGATGGGCCTAGAATCAGTGAGCACCCTGGAGCTACAGGCAGCCCTGGTGCCTGGGCAACATTTCCCCATGCCTCTTCCACGCTAGCATCCGCCCAAGCCACCAACAGGGAGGCTGTCCAGATGAACATGAGGGTCGCTCGGGAGTAGGGCACTGCAATGGAAATACCTGCGCCAGGGTCCGTATGCATATTCAGGGAGGGAAAAGCACAGAAGTTTTAATGGAAAGGCGAGGAGGATCACATAATTGTTTTGAGATAACTATCCTTGCCTCAGGAATCAATAACACTGTGGTAACAGTCTGAGGTTTGGGCAGGCAGCTGCTGGGCAGACGCCCTGGCAGAAGTGTTTTTTGTGTGAGGTTGTGATGGACTTGGCTCGAGATTGTGGTATTTGCCGTCTTTTGTGACGTGGAATGCCGTCGGGGCTGTTCCCATCTCTATCTGTCTGGGTTTTGTTTTGTTTAACATAAGTGCCTCCATTTTGATTCTGACAGTGGAACCAGGGGACTGTGGAAAGTGAGAGGAACAGCCGGGCCCAGCCAGGGTGTCCTGCCAGAGTCCAGGACATCACCAAGGACGGCGCAGTTTCCAGCAAAAGGACATGAGGCCGGGCACGGTGGCGCACGCCTGTAATCCCAGCACTTTGGAAGGAGAGGTGGGTGGATCACCTGAGGTCGGGAACCAGCCTACCCAACATGGTGAAACCCTATCTGTACTAAAAATACAAAAATAAGCTAGGTGTGTTGGTGAGCACCTGTAATCCCAGCTACCAGGGAAGCTGAGGCACAAGAATGGATTGAACCCAGGAGGCGGAGTTCAATCACGCCACTGCGTTCCAGCCTGGGCGACAGAGTGAGACTTGGTCAAACAAAAAAGGAGGAGTGCGGAGGGACCCCCACTGGCCAGCTCAGGGGTGCTGTGTGGAGAGAATGCCGTGTCCTTGTCTCCCCCTCCCCAGCCCCCATTCTTGCCACAGCCTGCCCTGCACAACTTTCCCCAAGGCTCCCTGACTGACTCCCCGTCCCAGTTTCTACACCAGGCCTGGCCCTTGGCCCCTGACAAGAGCTGGGCGCCAGAATGAGTTCTTCCACCCCCCATACCCACCGAAGCAGGCTCTTCTGTAGACAGCATGAACAGGCGGTGGCAGGGCAAAGGGCAGGGAAGGCTTCGTGCAGGTGCCCGAGGGGAGACTGAGCGGCCACCTGCACCCCCCGAGGTCCTGGGCCGCTTTCACCAGCTGCCTCTGCACCCACACCCATAAGCAGGAAGCAGGGCTCTGCTCCACAGCCCCCCCGGGGTTTCAGAGGACCCCTGCACAGTGCCCTGTATGCAGTGGGGCCAAATAAATGCAGACCTTCAGGTTACTAGGCACATGGGTGAATGTAGGGGGCAGGGGCTTGGGAGGCTGTGAGGCGTTTCCCAGACACTCCAGATCATTATCCGTGCCTTGCTCGGCAAACCAAGCGCTGCTGTGCCGGCCAAGTCTAGGGGGCTGTTGGGTGCTTGCGCCCTCCCCATGCTTTCCTCCAGAACACGCCACCCAGCCTGGGAGCGCACCTGCGCATCTGGGCTTCAGCTGGGAGCCCCGAGGCCCTCCGTGTCTGGGCACAGCTGCCAGGAGGCGGTGGAACGAGGCCGGGGGTGCGGGTGAGGACCATGCCATCATTCAGCTGAGGTCAAGGCACGGCTCAGAGTGGATCCCCATTTCCACGGAGGGACCTCGCTCAGGCCTGGAGCTCTGGAAACCAGGGCAGCCGATGCCACAGCCAGGGGCACATAAGGAGCCACTGCGTGGCAGATGCTGCCCTCTGCTATGGACTGACCCGTGTCCCTCCCACAAAATTCATCTGCTGAAGTCCCAGCCCCAGGTCCTCAGTGTGGCCTTATTTGGAGGTAGCATCTTTAGAGGTCACTAAATTAAAATGAGGGTCTCTAGGGTCTTATGTTAGGCCCTAGCCCAACACAAGAAGAGGAAGTGCGGACAGAGGCACATGCAGGGGCGGTGAGGGGAAGAGTTGAGGAAAGATGACCACCAACGAGCCAGGGAGCGACACGCCAGGAGGAGCCCGCCCTGCCCACAGGACTCTGCCGCCAGCCCCTGGGGCTGCGGGAGGAGGTACCTCTGCTGTGGAAGCACCGGGGCTCTGCGGCCTGGTGATGCAGCCCTTGGCTGGCTTGGGCGCCTTCCCTGCTGCATTCTCTGCTCAGGCTACAGGACCCCTCCTGGCAGACCCCGGGGCCGACAGACTCCTGATGGTGACAGAGGGGACAAGAGGGGGTCCCTGGACCCAGGTAGCATGATTAGGATGAGGAAGGGCCCAGGAATATCCACTCCCATGGAGCCAGACCCCCCAGAAGCCTGTGACCCTCTGTGTGGTCCCCCCAAGCATGCCATGGGTCCCCAGGTTCTGTCTAGCTCTCCTTCCCTTGAGCTCTTGACTGTGCCTTGGGGTCACCTGCTGCCAACCCCCATCCTCCCATTCAGCCCCCCTTCTCCTCTGCACTCTAAGACACCTGAGCTTCAGCTGCAGGATCCAGGGCTCAGCTCCTGCAGAGGCTCTCAGCCCCGGCCCACCTGTTGCCTATCTGAAGTCTGGTGATCTGGGAAAAGCCAGCTAGTCCACCTGGCCCAGCACAGATGGGCTGGAGTCTCGGGCCTGCAGTCGGGACCCGTGGGAGCAGGACAGCTATCCGGGGTGGCCCCGTGAGGCCCAGGCCACAGCTGCCCTCCGCCAATAAGGTCAGTCCTCGGCCCTCCCTGGAGGGCGCCTTACACAGAGCCTCTCATTACAGTGGAAAGTGGATAAAAAACACTTTAATAAAACGGCAGCGGCTTTGTGGGATGTGTGTGGCAGACAAAATCAAGAGCCAGGAGCCCAGGACGCAGAGGTGGGCCTGGGCCCCCATATCCAGGTGGATGCTCGGGCCGGGATAGTACTCATCCGGAGGGCACTCAGGCCAGGGTAGTACTCATCCGGTGGCACTCAGGCCGGGGTAGTACTCATCCGGAGGGCGCTCAGGCCGGGGTAGTACTCATCCGGNCTCAGGCCGGGGTAGTACTCATCCGGAGGGCGCTCAGGCCGGGGTAGTACTCATCCGGAGGGTGCTCAGGCCGGGGTAGTACTCATCCGGCGGCGCTCAGGCTGGGGTTAGTACTCATCCGGAGGGTACTCAGGCCGGGGTAGTACTCATCCAGCAGTGCTCAGGCTGGGGTTAGTACTCATCCGGCGGCGCTCAGGCTGGGGTTAGTACTCATCCGGAGGGTACTCAGGCCGGGGTAGTACTCATCCGGCAGTGCTCAGGCTGGGGTTAGTACTCATCCGGAGGGTGCTCAGGCCGGGGTAGTACTCATCCGGAGGGCACTCAGGCCGGGGTAGTACTCATCTGGAGGGCGCTCAGGCCGGGGTAGTACTCATCCGGAGGG